AGAATTTAAATGTTTCTGTAGGACAAATGAACAATTTTAATACAAAACAAACACTAATATATACACAACATGATTTATAAGCACTTTTTATATCCCTTTCATATGAAAACCTTTTAGACCAAGGAAATCTTGCCTTTTACCACTGTATTATAGTATGGACCTTCCTTCTCATCATTGGCTCATCAGAGGACTTCATTTTTTCTCTTAAAATGATACTAGCTGAAGAGGATGGATTAATAGGCTAGTTCAAAAGAATTATTTGTTAAATTTTTTTTGTATATAAGGCACCTTTCTGGTACGATGGAGATAAAAAGGTCTGTACGTAAATACAGTGTTCTGCCTTCAAGTAGCTAATGTGACCAGAGGTGAAGATAAGTTACAACAATTAAATATAAATTATTTTGCATACTGTACACGTGCCACTTTTTCTATAAGAGTATAGTGTGGAGAGACAATTACCTCAAACTCAAGAGAGGTGAGGGTAATCAGTTGAAATACGTTATGTTTTTTGGAAGCACTGAGTTTAGTAAAGGTTTTTATATCTAGTTCAACTGAATTAGAGAACTTACGTCAAACAATAGTAGAATTGTATGTCAGATTCGATTCAAAAGTATTAAAAAAAAGGGAGAATTGAATATCAAAATATGTAGTAAAGAAGAAAAACAATAATAGGAAGTAAAATTAATAAAGTCACTGCAACAGTATCATGAATACCGGATAAGAATTTTAATAATTTATAAGAAGGAAAAAGTTTTTGTAAAGGATAATGACATTAATTAAAATGATGTATTAGAAAGATAATTCTTAACTGCAATGTTAAGGATGCAACAAGAGGAAAGTTTAGGCAAAAAGTGAACATATGCAGAAGACGTTACGAAAGAAGATCTGTGGGATTCAATTACTAATTATAAATGAAGTGCAAGGAATGAGGAGGAATTAATATCTCTGAAATCTGAGTTGGCGTGATTAAGAAAATGATGGTATCATTGAAATAGACAAGCTCAAGAGAGGGAACAATCAGTTTTAGCTATTCTTTTGTTTGTTGGTGAGATTGAAGTGATCCTGAGATACTAAAATGGAATTTCTGATATGCTTTTGAAAAGCTGTCATAAAAGTTAGGATTAGAAATATAATAAATTTGGAAATTAAATTCCTAGTAAATAAGGTCATTGAAGTTATTGAAGTCTTTTTAAGGAGAAAAGAAAGAAGGTTAATTGTGAGGGCTACATAACAAAAGCTAGATGAACAGCTGTGTAAATGAAAATGTTTAAATTATCAGGAAAGGATTTCAATAATGAAACCTTTATTTCTCTTTGTTTAAATCCATTTACATTATTTGGAACAGTCTTCATTCCCTAATTATAGTAATAGCTTATATTGATTAAAACATTGTACGTTCTAGTCAATAGGCTGAAAATTCAGTCTTCTCATTTCATTATGACAGTCCTTTGAGGCAGGTATTATCATCTCCATTTTATAGGTGAGATAACAAGAGTTAGAGGAGGTGGCTCATCCAGAGTCACAGAGCTGGTAAACAGCAGAGCTAGGGTTTGAAACCATGTCTGTCTGACTCAAGAATCTAGGTTCATAATTACTATAAATGTCCTATCTTCTTCTACCTTCTTAATATACCCAGTGTAATGCTACTTAATAAATACTAACTGAGAGAACTTAAGAGGAAAGGATTAGATTACAACACCAGAATAAAACAGATCTAAGGTGGTCTTTTATAGTTGAGTAGATTTTTTTTAACAGAATAAGTAAGGCAGCAAAATAAGTGAGCTAGAAATTAGACTTCAGAGATGATACGTGGTATAGGAGTGAGTGAAGGATTAAGTACTGGAGCATTTAGGTGGAAGTGGTATGATAATAACAGGGAGAGGGGAAAATAGGATATTGGGGATTGGGGCAGTGAAGACGGGAGTTTTTTGAATTAGGAAAGGTTTGTACATGTTTAAAGGAGCCAATGGAAATAATGTAATTAAAAATATGAAATATGGTAGAGTAGATGGTTAAAGTATTACAATTAAAGTATTATCTGAGTAAAGTAATATTTATAGTATTAAGAATACATTTGAATGATTTAGCCAAGAAAAGATGAACTTTTTTTTTTTTTTTGAGACATAGTCTTACTATGTCGCTCTCAGAAGAGTGCCATGCTGTCACAGCTCACAGCAACCTCAAACTCTTGGGTTTGAGCGATTCTCTTGCCTCAGCCTCCCAAGTAGCTGGGACTATAGGTGCCCACCACAATGTCCAGCTATTTTTTTGTTGCAGTTGTCATTGTTGTTTAGCTGGCCTGGTCTGGGTTCAAACTCACCAGCCTGGGTGTATGTAGCTGGTGCTGTAACCACTGTGCTACAGGCATCAAGCCTACCTCTAAAGCTTTTTAAAAGTTAAGAGAATGAGTATCAGTTAACTGGATGGCCAGAAAGCAAAGGGCAAGAGATAATGTTGGGCTGGAGAGAGGAAAGTTTTAAAGATCAGGGTCAGAAATGAGAAATAGCAATGATCATGAAAAGGAGTTGCTGTGCAAGGCCTAGGGCCGTGCTATGAGTTTGTAGCAGACCAGGTTTTTTTTTTATTTGTTTGTTTGTTTGTTTGTTTTAACCCTCCTCACCAGCAATTCTCTGTAGCCAAGAAAAAGAGACATAGATGTAAACAAAAGTTGGAAATCGAGTCCAGGTTTACCTCCCATCCTCGTCTCTTGGAAGTGATCAAGGAACATAGCAGCATCCTACAAATCAGTAGCCTTTGTATACACCAGCAATTGTCAAGCTGAGAACAAAATCAAAGACTCTGTTGTTTTTACAAAGACATCAAAGAAGATGAAATACCTGGGAATATATCTAACAAAAGAAGTGAAAGATCTATAAAGAGAATTATGAAACTTCAAAAAAGGAAATAGTAGAAGATGTCAACAGATGGAAGAACATACCATGCTCATGGCTGGGAAGAATCAACAT